TCTTTACTCTTTCAGGAAGATGTCCAAAAAGAAAGGTGCCAGATCAAATGGAATCTCTATGTTTTGTTTTTTTGAAAAATCTCCATACCAGTTTCCCTAGCAATTTTATTTTCCCACCATCAATGGATAAGGGTTCATTTGTTATTATTTGATTTCTTGATTATGGCAATTCTTTCTGTGGTAAAATAGAATCTCAGTGTTGTTTTAATTTGTAATTCTGTAATGATCGGTGATGTTGAGCATTTCTTTGTCTATTAACCATTTATTCTTCCTCTGCGAAGTGTCTACTCATTTTACTTGCCCAGTTCAGATGAAGTAGACCTTTATCAAGATGACTAAAGCAGCATTGTTTAGTTGGCTTGGAAATGGAAACAAAGTGAGTCCAAATGAAAGGAAATGTCTTAAGAAACTATAACACAAATGAGATGCTTACAGGATGCTTACAGGAAAAAAGTGAGAGTTATGGCATTTGATTGTTAGTAAGTTCTATACATTTTGTTGTTTTTTGTTTTTCTTTTTGAATCAGGATCTTACTATGCAGTTCAGGTTGGCTTTGAACTCACTATGTACTCAAAGCTGGCCTCAAACTCACAGTAGTCCTCCTGCCTCAGCCTTCTGGGTGTTGGGATTGCAGTCTGTACCCAACAAGTTCTATATGCTACTAATGAATGAGAAAAGCAAAGGTGAAAAAATGTGTCTTATCTAACATCTAGCTTATGGAAAACTAAGAAAATAACAAGCACCAAGAGCTTAAAAAAATCAAACCTCCTTACCAAATTTAAAGACTCAGTCCAAAAATAGGCATCTGAAATCCATAGACTCTTCCCAAATGAAGAAGTACAAATACCAAGTAAGTATATGAAAAAATATTCAACATCATTGGTATCAAAGAATTCAAATTAAAACAATACTGAGATTCCATCTTACCTTAGAAAAAAGTGGCTATCCTCAAGAAATCAAATAGTAACTAATGCTGGGAAGGCCATGGATAAAAAAAAAACTCTTCCACATTATTAGTGGGAATGTAATTTGCTACAACCAATACAGAAATCAGTGTGGAGTTCCCTAAAAAAATTAAAACTAGGTGTTCCACTTGACCTAGCTATACTCTTTCTAGGTATCTTCCTGAAAGAGTTAAAAGCTTCAGACCATAGTGATACATCCATATTTATGTTTATAGCAACACAATTCATGATAGCTAAATCTTGGAAACAGCCCCTATGTCCATCAAAAGATGAAAGTTTAGAGAAAATGTGGCATTCATATATAATGGAGTACTACTCTGCCATGGAGAAGGATAAACTTGGGTCATTTTTAGGTAAATGGATGCACCCCGAAATCCTACATTTAAGTAAAATAAATCAGACATGTGTTTAAATATTGCATTGTTTTTCTTGTGTGAGAAATTCAAAGGGTAAATAAGGAGTAAAATAATAATAATAAGGATATATGTCAGGAATTAAGTAGTACATGTTCAGATGATAAGGGGAATTGAGGGAGAAGGGGTGATAAAGGGGAGGAAGGGAAGAGGGATTTAAAAAAAAGAGAATAGAAGGAAAATTAGAAGCAAAGTTTTTGTAAATGGGAAAAGAAAAGGATTGAAGGGAGGGAAGAGTAATAAAAAAGGAATAATGATGAATGTGATAATTACGTATAAAATGTATACTAATAAAATTTTAAATAAATAAATATATTATTCTATATTATCCACATTTTTAAAAACTGATATGCTCATTTATGTGTATGTATTTCTATGTACATATGTGTACAGTACTGAGACATACATATATAAACCCAGAGAAAACTAAGAAAGATGCCTACTCTATGGTTAGTATATACAGGTTACACATAAGGAGAAGATACGAAAAGAGTGAAAAGCCAAAAAACAAAAACAAAAATCAAACGAATAAATAACAACAACAAAATAGCACCAATAAGTATGCTGTATAATATGATTCCATCCCAGTATTTAGGTAACATGATGACTGGATAAATAAATACATATAGACAAAGTTATTTTCAAGAGACAAAATATCACAATTAAATTTACTTATTTAGTTAAAAGAAACATAAAATCTGTTCTCAGAAATATTTCTTAGACTGTTGGGTACAACAGTTAATCTAGCTCTATTATTTCGATTAAGTATAAACCCCTGATTCTAATTTCACCCTATCAGTTGTGTTCATTTTGAATTCTGACCTTAACTGGGCAATATACAGTGTGAGCAGAGTTCCTAGCATTCTCTCACTAGGAAGATATAACATGCTGACACAAGAGAGGCAGAAGTTTTAGAGAGGCGTGAAGGTTCATGGTTCATTAGATCCTCCAAATGTTCCTCGAGGTCGTTCCTGCATTATTGAGATGATACAATTCCCTTCCATAGGTCTAATCCTTGCCTGGTATAATAATGAGTTCAACAAGTGATGTGACTCAGCAGGTCACTGAATTCATCTCTGAGTTAGTTTTGTGTACTCTGCTCCTCTTGGATAGAATCGCAGATACTTTTTTTCAGCAGATAGATAAGAAGGACCTGAAGTTTATTCTGCACCTTAAGGCAGACACCCAAGAAATAAATTAATTGTCTTGAAAACAGAAGACTGTAGTCTCTGCCTTCCCCATTCTCTTGGTCTTACTTAATTTTTGTACCTTTCCATTATTCACAGGATTATCACAATGTTCACAGCCTCAGGCAATTACAGCTCAAAAGAATAGTGGCAGTTATATACCATGAGCATAAAAATCGATGACTCATTTCATTTTGTACATTTTTGCACAATAACATTTCCCTGAGAGATGTTCCCTCAAATCAAATGCAAAATTGAAGAGGAAGAGAGAGCAGCATAATGATGTCTATTTCTAAATACTTTTAGTTTTGAAGTTTCGTTGCCAGCCACTCACCTTTGACTCCTATTTGAGCATGAGTAACCAGCGTTTGGTTGCAAGCCACTGAATTTGATGGTAGATAATTGTGGAAAGGATGTGGGAGCCTTGTAAACAATGGAGGGGGAAGTTCAGAAAATGAGAAAACATAGCTCTGGCTACCTTAAATTCCAGCTCTACTGTCTCCTTACTATGGCTCTGTGAACAAGCATACAAATAGCCTTGTCAAATTCCCTCACCAGTACAGAAAAACTAATAATGCAATTTATCTCATATTGTTGAAATGATTATCTAGGATAGTGAAAGATAATGTAGCATATTAATTTTGTGTTCTGTTATAACAAATTACTGCAAGTTTAGTATCTTAAAATGATACTGACATTATCTCACAGTTCTTTAGATCAGAATCTGGCTGAGTTTCACTATTTTCGCTGCCCTGGGTTGCACAAGGTCAAAATCAAGGTGTCAGTAGGCATCATACAGAAGATCTGGGGAGCGATCACTTCCAGGTTTGTTCAAGTTGTAGGCAGGACTCAGTGCCATCAATTCCATAAACTGAGGAGCTGCTTTGCTTCCTGTTGTCTGGTGTTACTCTAAACTTCTAGAATTGGCCCATAATACCTGACTCAGAGCCACCTCTATTGTGAAAGCCAGTAATGGTGGGGGTGGGTTGAGCTTCTCATGCTTATATTTTCTCTAATGTTTCCTTCAGTCTTCTCTTTTCTACCTAGATCTAGAGAAGATCCACTGCTTTTAAGGATTCATATGATTAGACTGGGTCTACATGGACAATTCAGACTACCTTTATTTTTCATAGCCTCATTTATCTCTGCCCAAATACTCTTGTAATGTAATGCAGCAAATTCTAATTCACAAAATGAGTTCCATTCTAGAAGAAAGTTCCTGAGTCAGATTTATTGCTATTCCAAAAAAGTGAGTCTTATACAACTTTGACAAAAATACACAATGCAATGCATAGAAAACCAAACACCACACAAAAGTACAGCAAGTCTTCAACTGTGTTGTACTACTGTGTACTATCACACAGCACAGTAAACACACAGCAGCACAACTGTGACAATATCTGGCAGGCACATGAGCAACAGATATGTGAGCTACCTTTGTGATTTGTTCTAGTTGGTAAGGACTTACTGTATAGCATATTCATGGGTCTCAGAGATTAGAAGGATGACATCTTCCTACCACAGAAACTTTGTATTCTTTGTGGCACAGGTTAAGAGATGTAACAAATTTTCTATTATTGCTATTTTTATTTAAAAATACAACGTGACTAAGGTCAAGGAGACAGGGATCTGGGGCCCTTATTTATATACCCAGCTTTCACAACAAGAGTTCCAGAAGATACCCTGACTTCAGCCCTGCCCCTCACAGACACAGGCCTGTGGCTGCCACATAATGAGTACGCGCAGTGACTTCTCAGGTTTAGTGTAGGAGGCTTCTTCTTGTGTTCTTACCCGCTCTGTTCTGCTGCACAGGCATCCATTATTTTGGTGGTCTTGTGAAAAATAAATTTTAAAACCCCCAGAAAATATTATTGTGTGGAAAAACAGGGTTCACAGTCTTTGTAGGAATACAATCAGGTTGAGTCTGTTCCATATGGTTACTTTCTTGTTGTTTGTCTCTGCCCAATACTTTAACTTCCTAGGGAAAGAGTCTAAATAACCCAAGTCAAATCTTCGTTTTCCTCATTGTCCCTGTGAACTGCCAAGAGAAAGTGGTAAATGGCCAGCCTACCCTGGGTTATGAGCTAGCCCCTTGATCTCCATATGAATCTGAGAGAATTACTTTTCCTAAGAACCTGGAGCATCATTATCAGGAGACATGAGAGGAATAATGAGCAACCAGTAACAATAGATATTCACACATGAGTAGCAAAACATTTTTGTAAAATGATCCATGGAAAAAGAAAGTCAGTTGATTCATTTCTTCTCAGTCACACTAAGAGCTTTTGTCCTTTTGACAATCATTTCTCAAAAAGTAAAAGTTATGTTCCTGGTGGCATTGTCTATCAGAGACAGTCAAGAACTTGCCCTAAAATCCAGTATTAGATCATGTAGCAAAACAGTTTTGCATCCATTTCATCATGATTTTGTGTCTGTTACATGAAAGGGTAAAAATATTTTCTGAGCATTCTTCCCACAGCTGCCTTCACCTCCTTGTTTTTCAGGCTGTAAATGAGGGGATTCAGCATGGGAGTGATCATACTGTACTGCAAAGAGAAGATCATTTCCATTGTGGAACCTGAACCTGGTAAGAGATAGCTGATGAAACCCGAGACATAGAACAACATCACCGTAGTGAGGTGGGAGGAGCAGGTGGAGAAGGCCTTGCTTCTGCCCATGGTGGAGCTGATTCTCATGATGGCAGAGACAATACGAGCATAAGAAGAAACAATCATAACAAGGGTTGCAAAAAAATGAAAGACAGAAGAACAGAACAGGACTGTAAAGTTGGTAGAGGTATCAGAGCAAGACAGAGGAAAGAGAGAAGACAACTCACAACTGAAGTGAGGAATAGTTTTGCCCTCACAAAAATCTAAATTCACAGCCAGGAGGATATTGGTCAGAGCGTCAGCAAAGGCCAGGCCCCAAGAGACCCATACCAGCCCAACACAGAGCTGTTTATTCATCAGCTGGCTGTAGAGCAGAGGAAAGCTGATGGCTACATAGCGGTCATAGGCCATCACAGCCAGCAGACAGGCCTCTGTGCCACCAGTGGCAAATACAAAGAAGGCCTGAGCAAGACAGCTCTCTACAAAAATGGTTTTGCTTTCAGAAAGTAGATTCTCCAGCATCTTGGGTGCTGTAATAGATGAGTGGCACAGGTCAAGGAAGGACAGGTGTTTTAAGAAGAAGTACATGGGTGTGTGCAGGTGAGAATCAGTTGTAATCACCAGAAGCATTAATGAGTTCCCAATCAGAGTAAGGAAGTAAATCAGAAGGAAAAACACAAAAAGTATGGCTTCAGTGTAGGGGTCGGTAGACAGTCCAAAAAGAATAAACTCACTGATAGCTGTATAGTTTTTCATTGTCATGTAATGTTCTCTCTGCAATAAAAGAAACAGGACCTTTAGCAGTCTAGTAGACACCCAAACATGTAGATCTTAGTATCTATAAAAACTTTCTCATAACTGCCTCAAAGTCCATGTTCAGATATTTAAAAGCTAGCCTCTGGCTGTGATTTTACCATTGCTATTATAAAACCCCTCATTATTATTTTTGTCATATTCTTAAAGGTAGAGTACATTCATGGTGCTGAGAGGGATTCCTCTGAGCAAAGTTTCTAATGAGAGAGAAAATTTTCAGGAAACTACTTGAGAAATTGAAAGCAGAGTAAACCTATATCAAAATTACCTAAGAGTAAGAGTACTATTCTACAAAGAGGAGAAAGTCAAGAGTGTTAGACTAGGTACAAGAAGTGAAGACAGTTCCTTGCCTCCAGTTTTCTGTGAGTTTAAATGAGATCATTGGCTGTGCATGTATGTGCAAAGAAGGTGCTTACATGGTCACAAGAAATTATAAAGGAACCCATATCAATAAAATAAATGTATGATCATGGGAATAAGAATCCAGGTGAAGTGTAAGGAACCATTAGAGAATAGGAAAACAATGTGGCATCAAGGAATTAAAGTGCAGAAACAAGTGGTAGATTTTTCTTATTTTAAATTTTCCTACTTTATTTACTGGCATCATATCATATTTTAATTTTATAATATATGCAGATATTAATAATGAATTTTAAAAGTGGTGGCCTACATCATAATCCCCAGGAATATTTAGAGTGTGCTTGTGTGGGCAATTCTATACATACAATAGATCACAAGAGACTAATCAATATAGGAAGATAATGCTTTAGATAAAAACATCGTGTGCCCTTCCAAAAGCCCACACATCCAATCGTATATGCATTTACCACTTTTGTGGTAAACCATACCAGGTATTGAGGCTCCACACGGATACATGAACTCTCTTTTTGTACTTTGTAATTTATACATATTTTTCTACACTGGCTGGGTACTCTAAGAGTTCATGGGAGTCTCAGGATAATTGTTCACTACCCTTTCTGTTCTAGTTCAAAACTAGTTGTTCTAATGCATCTATGAAGTTAGAGTTCTACTGTTCTGTAGAAAGAATAAGACTCCAGTGCTAATGAGGAACAAAACACAATTACCTGAATTCTCAATTGGTAGAACACTGTGTTTCCGCACTACTTTCAGATTCCAAGAGTAATAAAACTTCTTAGTTTATACAGTCAACAATGAAAATAATACTAAGGAAAAGTAGAAAATCATGTTGAAAATTGACATTATAGGATTTGACACTAGCAATATAAATGACAAACTGTAAACACTTGAATATGTATTTCATTATTTAGGGAACCAGGACAGAGGAGACAATTCTTCCTCTTTAACTCCTTAGACTTAGGGATTCCTAAGCAAAATAGTGTAGAAGAGAACCCAGGCAAAGATTCACAGTACCCATGAATGAAGCTTATGCTACTCAATCTGAGAGCCAATACATTCTCAAAACATCCCTTTCATTTGCCTAACTGCAAATATAGCCTTACTGACTACAAAAATTTTGTGACCCAGAGAGAATTCCAATTTTAGATCAAAGGAAACAATGCATTGAAATGATCAGTATAATAAAAATCAATGCTAGTTACTTGATTTCACAAGTTTCTTCCTCATGGTTATTTAGAAATTCTCAAGAAAAGATCTTAAAAATAAGATGAAAACTTTCATTTTGACTGTGGCTAGCACCTGTAATATCACCACTACTTATTTATGCAATCAATACTTCAGATTCTAAAATAATAAGCTTCAGAAAGATATATGGAAAGTTTGTTTTCAAATATTGACACCATAGTGTAGGGAAAATTATCAGGTTCTTTTCCAAAAGCTCCTTGAGAACTGCTCCACTGTTTGTTCATTTTGGAATCAAACAAAAGGCACCACGCACAATGAACTAGTCCATAGGTATTGCTCTCACAATGTGATAGTGGAAAACATACATGAATGGATTGTGGGGGGGGAGTGAGGCAGAGGAATGCTGTAATATCAGGGGGAGAGGGAAGGAGAAAGGGAGATAAAAAGAGAGGATGGGAGGGAGAGAGAGAGAGAACATGTTTTGAAAGACAAATCAGGCTTCTAAACAGCCATTGATAGCTCGATGTCTTTAAATATGTAAGCACTTCTTGGCATAAGAGAAAAAGTATTAAAGTGAGAGGCACTAAAGATAAGCTCTAATTTTGCTCAATGGACTATGTCCTCTCAGACACCCCATATCCGCTGAGATACGTTAAAAGAGGTTGTTTTCTTTGGAGATAAACACTATTACATAAATTAGAATGCAGCAAAATCTTCTTTAGATTTATGTACAAATCAGTAATCCCTATGGTGCAATCAATAGAAAAAGATTTGAACAATACTTCATAGAAGTGAAGACTAGCTGTCTATACCACATGGTAACTGAGATCCTCTTTACGAGATTCCCGATTCCAGTGTGTTACAAGAGTACCAAATAATTAGGCTTCTGCATCACGTCCAGAGCACTGTAATTTGCCCTAGGATTGTGGGATGCATAGTGAGGCCTGTAATATAGTGTGAAAAGAATCGTGCCCATGCCCCGAGTTCTTTAGAACTGAAACATCATCTTTAGGAAAAAGAATTACTACCTGTTTCAAAGGACTTAAAATCTCATCCATTTAAAAGTAGACTCACTTAAAAACAACTGGACCAGTTGCTTTAATGTTCAGGTGTGATGAATGTTCAGCCAGTGGTGTATGAGGCTGTGTCCTGGGATATTTCATTTGCAGTTTTAATGTCTTATTTTCATAGGAAACATAGTCCAACAGAGACAATAAAAGTCAAGCACAGAAATGGAAAATACATCTCAAATTACTGAACTGTACATCAATTGATGATTTTAAAATGGCAAGTGCTTTAATTTAATATTTAAATATGGCTTTATAGAATAAGATGTTGAAGTAGACACTTACTAGACAAATGACTGTGCAGTTGTGCTACATACAGATCAAAGGATAATTTTACAGTGCTATGATTTGTGAGTGTGTGCATGTGCATGTGTGCATGTGTGTGTAAAGTATTCTATTGATTTTCTTTTGTTTTCTGTTATTTTTTTGTCTTTAAAAATAATGGCATGTATTCACCAACAATGTACATTTATTTATACTAGTAATGACTCCAACTGCCATGAAGGATTTAGATGTTTATGAAGTCAGATATACTATATGTTGCATAGCCTTTACTTCTAAGCTTTCTAAATGAATATGAAATCAGCAGCAAGATTTCCATTTATGAAAACAAGGCCTGATAAATATACTTCTTGTTGCACAGAATGCATTTCTTAAAGATTTTGCATAACAGATATACAATACTGACAACTCATAAAATTAAATTAAAACAAATTCAAAGCTTCTCTAATACAAATTTATGGGATTTTTTTAATTGCCAAAAAAAAAAAAAGAAAACAAATCTTGAGAGTTCAGGGTGTATGGGAGATTTTTACTCCATGAAGGTTGAAGATCTGTACTTTATGTCCTTACCTGCTCAAATGGTAATCTCAGCTTCCCCAAACTTTTCAGAACCTGTTGAAATTCAGGCTGTATGCCAAAGGGCAAAGAGAACCAACAGAGGTATAGCAGAGCTTCTTGGAGACACATATATGTGGCCCTGTCCCAGATCTGTTTTTCTCCAGCTATGTAAGTTTTGAAAAATGATTTCTTCTTTTAATTTTAAATTTTCCATCTTCATTGTGGGAATAATAGGGCCCACTTTGTAATGTTGTAAGAATTTAATTGGATAATTTACATGAAATAAAAGCCTCACAAATTCATTTTTCAAAATTTTTTTTAGATTATGAATACCCCAAAAGAAGAGGAAGAAAGAGACATCTGAGAAGCTTATTAGAATGTCTTACAGAGCCAAGATAAACTGCATGCTGGGGAGGAGGTGGCATTGCTGGAGATCTCCAGGACACAAAGGGATTAGAGATGAGAGAATTTAAAATAAAATGTGTTTCAAAATTATGACGAGCTGGGCATGGTCACACACACCTATAATCCCAGAACTCAGAAGGCTGAGGTAGGAAGACCACTTTGAGTTTGAGGCCAGCCAGGACCTGTCTCAAAAAAAAAAAATTATGATGAAGGGAAGAGTGGAGAAAATAGCCCAAGCCAGTCAAAAGAAACAAGAGAATTAAGGAAGGTCACATGGTACCTTTGGCTGGTATTACAGAGCTCAGCATCCAGCTGTGAACACAGCTCAAAGAATTACCAACTAGTGAAGTTGTACTGCAACAGCTCAGCTCTGAGGAATATACACTCTTTAATCTAGAAAGGTGGCTGAGAACAAATAAGTATGTTTACCCAGCCTCCAAAAGACATTGTAGACAAATCTTCAAAACCTTTTTCTTGTGAAGCATTCATTGTTCTTTGTGATTTCTTTCATCTTTCTCAAAATTGAACACATAATCACTTGGTCACTTAAATTCCTCAAAGACTAATAGTATGCTGCTAGTGTTATCTGAAGAAAGGATCCTCCAGTGAATCTGATCAGAGGAAAATAGCTAGGTGTACAGAGCCAGTAGGTTGGTGGACTCAGTCAAGCAATCTAAGAAGCATCTGACTCTATGCCAGGCAGTCCCAGGAATCAAGTAAGAAGCTTGAATTTGGGATCACTAACTAAACAGTATTTTTTCCTAGAGCAACAGGATACTTTATTATGTATCACCTTTGGAAATTTTACCTTGAAGCAATCACCTTGAACTATTGAAAGAGAAATTATATTCTGCTAATGAGAGTTCCACTGGAATATAGTGAGAAAACAATTTGGTCCCAAGGTATGAAGCCAAGATTTTCCCCAAATACAAAGGAGATGAATCCTCTAGGGTTTACTATGAAAGTTGAATAATGTTTATCTTCTGCTCATCCTTCCAAGTGTGTACAATATGTTTACAAAAAACATGGTTTTAATTAGTATTTCATTATATAAGACATTATAAAACTGTCTCT